GCTGTCTTAGGGGGCCAACGCCGGCTTATGATCAAAAGGTCAAATGGTACCCTGAGTTTTCGTAATTCAACGGATTTCGCTTTCTTTTATACGAGTGTCCTTAAACTCCCCCCCTTGGTAAAAGTTTTTTCTGCTTTCTTCGAAGTCTAGACTCTAGAGATGTCATTTCTTGCGAGACTTTGATCATCTTGGGGAAGCATGGCCCGGTGGCTCCATTTCCCCCTGGATCCGCACTTCATTGCGTCTCGCAGAAATTATTCTGCAGAAAATATTCTCTGAGAAGTTATCGTGGTTTCTTCGAGGTCTTAACTCTGGAGATGGCATTTTTTACAAGGCCTTGACCATCTTGGGGAAGCATGGCCCGGGTGCCCCTTGCCCCCTGGATCCGCACTTGATTGCGTCTCGCAGAAATCGCAAGCTGCGAAACACGCGAAACGCGAGAATCCCGATCTGAAGTCAAACGGATGGTACTGCAGCGATATCAATACCTCAAAGACATTTCTGTCCACAAATTTCTCTAGAATGTTAGCTGTTTTCGTCGCCGGCAGGACTCGTTTAACCATGTGAAATACGCGCGCCGCGCCCGGCTGTTTGGCTGACGCTTGCTTCGCGGAGAAGTGGCGACAGCGGCGGGGACGGGAGGAAAGAACATGTTAGAAGGCGGGAATGGGAGGATGGAACAGGTCAGGCGGCGGGACGGGAGGACGGAACAGGTCACGCGGCGGGGACGAGAGGACGGAACAGGTCATGCGGTGGGGAGGGAAGGAAAGGGCTGCCTGGTAGCCGCCGCGTGCTCCGCTCACTCATGTGGTCGTCTGCAGGACCGGCCGCAAGGTTCTCATCGGTTTTTGGCACGGCGCGCTTACGTAAGAAAGCAGGGAAGAAAAAAGAAAGCCCAATGGGATAGTATGATTATCAGGCCACCCTTTAACCAGCCACGCTTATAAGTTTTAGGCCTGACCTTGATCCTAGATGTGCCCTTCTCTTTCAATCAAAACTGTTCGCTCTCGACTTAGCCCCATTATTTTGGACCATTGCTCCGGTCTTACTCGGCGTCACGTATCAACCAGAAGCATGTAAATTGGTATCGTCTTTACGTGTTGAACGCACCTCTCAAAGACGCTGACCGCCTTATTCAGATGCTGATGTACAACGTGCACAACGACATGGAAGACCAATTCAATATCGAGCTACAGTTACAGAAGCTTCGCCTTTGTTTTGTCCAGCTTCAAAGCTGGATAATTTCCGAGCGATTGCCGGGGACTCGACGCCTCCGTACTTCATAAGCCGGAGCTGCCGCGCTCTCTAAGGTCACGTCGGCGCTCAATATATTCTTCTCACATAGATCGGATTTAAACTTTGAAACCTAATCCGGACATGACAGCCAGATTCATTGCATGCCGTATGCCAAGTGCCACCGCAAGCTCATCTGGTATGCACGACGGGGCCGCGGAGCCCTATTTCGAATAAGGCACAACGCGCGGCACCCGATAAAGAAGAGGACCCGAAGCCGGCCCACTTGTCATCGATGGTACATGCTCATTGGCTGAGATCGCGCGGAGGGCTGAGAAAACACAGGGAAAGAATGATCGCTGGAGCGGTCAGGTAGCATGCATGAGGGGCCCAGTCCTGAATTCTTCAGAGGGTTGTGTAGTTTGCATATGTCATTGAGGTAGATTGGTGCGGCTTCCACGGCAAGGAGTGTCAAGTGTCCTGCCGATGTCATCGCCTCCTGCCCCGCCTCGGAGATAAACGTTGCCTTGGAACCGTTTGTACTGCGCAGTTCCAGGCATTTTGCAGTATTTGCTGCCCTGGAGCGACCGGCACTACGTCAGTACGGTAAAGGTAGCCATCAGAAAAGGTATTCAGTAGAGTTGAGAATGTTTTAGTTGCCAGTCATCACCCTTTGCGCAGTGAACCCTGACGGTCATATTGGTGCCAACATTGCGGTTTGTTGCGTGACAACTTGTGCCCTGAGAATGTCGGTGCCAACCTGTTTTGTCCCAGGATTGCTTTCCATTTCTAGGAGGTAATTACCTACCTCACATGCATTTCTGTATTGTCTGGTTGCCTGGGGTAATATATAGCTTAACTAGCTCACTTTTAATCTATCCAATATAATATAGTAGTGACATTACCGAAAATCGTACCAACTTTCCGTGAACTGATAACATGGTTTGACGAGCTCATCACCGGTTGTGAACTGCCGAGTCAACGGAGACCGAGCCCGCTGGTTGACCGCGGTCACTGTCCGGTCAGCGGGGTCGACATGATCCGCACTGCGTGTCAGCTCTGATTGGGCGTGTCGGGGGCGTGGGCGAGCTCAATAGTCGGGTGGGGTCCCCTCAGGATGGCCCACGACCTGGTACTGGCCTATTCAACCGCGACGTAAGCCTGGTGCAAAACATGCCCGAGAATGCGCGGATGAGACGGGCGCGGGCCAGGACGCTTCCGAAGGCTCCTTGTGTCGGAGGAGTTTGACCGTCCCTCTGCGCACGGATGCGTAATGGCCTGTCACGCAGTGACACGTGTCGACAGAGATAGCCGAGAAGTGGGCCACGGAGGGAAGTGGCCGGGGTCGGCTGCCGGTAAATGACGTCAGAACTCATGGAAGAGAGAATTGGCAGCCCAATGGACGGAAATGAGAAATTGACGCGAACGAGATAGAATTGACGAGATTTGCGGAATTGTCTCTGAGGCAGGCAAAGATTGAAAGCGAAACCTACGGAAGGGCGGAAAGAGAGAGGGAGACGGTGGAGAGAGAGAGAGAGAGAGAGAGAGAGAGAGAGAGAGAGAGAGAGAGAGAGAGAGAGAGGGAGAGAGAGAGAGAGGGACAGAGAGAGAGGGAGAGAGGGGGAGAGAGAGAGGGAGAAAAAGAGAGAGGGAGAGAGAGAGAGGGGGAGAGCAAGAGAGGGAGAGAAGGATGGCATGTCTTGAGTGTGAGTAGGAACCACGGAGCGAATATCTTTTCAGAAGTTGATTAAAATTCGTGGTTTGCTGCCTCAGCTGCCTGGAATATGAGCATAGTGACATTAAGTGGTCATTGTGGTAGTTCAAGATCCAGTGATATCGTAAACCACATAGAAATCAAAGGCATTACGCCTACAAAGCAGCATGCAGCAAAGAAAGCACTAATGTTGTTTGCTCTCAAATTGTAATAGCCTGGTGGCGCATTGGTATTTGCAAGGCTTCAAAGGTTAATAGTTATATTTGTAACGCCGCATTTGCTTGCATTATTTCATTCTTACCCGACTGGAGGCGGCCGACCATCGAAGTCGGCGAAGACGAAAGACACGGTGCGCGGTTGTATCCCGCCATTGCTAGCCGAGTGGGCCCAGTGTCTGTTCCATCCTCGTTATGCAATTTTACCACGCGTTTGCGAAGACCTGACTAAAACGTCGCCTTGCAGAAGAATGTCTCAGTCCGTATGCGCACGAGCAGATCGCCTCGTCCGGATGGCCGGTCAGGCCACCAGGCTCGGTGTTGATGCTGTGGACGCACGTTCACGCCTCGCCGCTGATGACTGCAGACGGACGGCAGCGGCGTGGGACGGCTCTGAGGGCGGGCGGCTCCCTCACAATCGATCTGGACGGCGGGGTGGCGCGGCGCGGCGTGCGCGGGGACAGCGCGCCTCGGTGCGCCCAGGCATGCCCGGCCCCAGATGTGGCCACGTAATTGGTACGATAAATCGCGGACTAGGAAAACGTCAGGGGAAAGCCTCGTTACGGCCGCACTTGCCGGCCCGCAGGAAATAAAATAGGTTATCTAGATGGCGGCAGCTTAGCCTGCGGGTGGTACAATGAAGGAATGGTCTGCTGCAGAGAAGCACTGGGCATGGGTGGGTGAGATTAGTACACTTAGCAAGTTATCTGGTGGTGGAACAACCAGCCAGTAGGCTTTTAAGCCTACTGGTTTGGCAGCGCTGTAGGAATAACCGCGATGCTGTAGGCGAGGGTAAATCGGATTAGGCGAATCCCCTTTGTGTTAATTGAATTTATGACTGGCTTTATAAGCACGCGCGTAGGCGTTGCAAGCACAAATGTATACCTTCATTGGCCCATGAAGCCATATTTTAAGGGGTGATCTCATAGATGTTGCCATCTAGGGTTGATCCAAACATACTTGCTGTTCGCTGCGTGTTCAAATAAGGTCAACATACAGATCGCCCACGGCGACGTAGTTGATGGTATGTAACATCCAACCAGCCCGGGCAACAGACCCCGCAGCAGAACTTGTGCCAAGTCTTCCTGTTTCCAATGCTTTTCTGGTTTAGCCGCATGAAAAGTTACACCTTCCGCACCTGCAGCGTTGACGTTGTCGGCGTCAGGCATCCTGGCGGCGTTTCCTCCATCCCTGACATCGCTGTCTAATGTGCGGCAGTGCCCAAGTCGCTGGAGCAGCTGCACACCCAGCTTATGACGTCACTGTCTAATGTGCGGCAGTGCCCAAGTCGCTGGAGCAGCTGCACACCCAGCTTATGACGTCACTGTCTAATGTGCGGCAGTGCCCTGGTCGCTGGAGCAGCTGCACACCCAGCTTATGACGTCATTGTCTAATGTGCGACAGTGCCCAAGTCGTTGGAGCAGCTGTACACCCAGCTTATGACGTCACTGTCTAATGTGCGGCAGTGCCCTGGTCGCTGGAGCAGCTGCACACCCAGCTTATGACGTCATTGTCTAATGTGCGACAGTGCCCAAGTCGTTGGAGCAGCTGTACACCCAGCTTATGACGTCACTGTCTAATGCGCGGCAGTGCCCTGGTCGCTGGAGCAGCTGCACACCCAGATCATGACGTAACTGTCTGATGTGCGGCAGTGCCCAAGTCGCTGGAGTAGCTGGACACCCAGCTTATGACGTCCCTGACGGATATGTTCCGGTGTTTCAGTCGCTGCAGCAGCTGCACACCCAGCTTTAGACGTCTCTGTCGGATATGTTCCGGTGTTTCAGTCGCTGGAGCAGCTGCACGCCCAGCTTATGGCGTTCCTATCTGATGTGTTGCAGTGCTTCAGTCATTGGAACAGCTGCACACCCAGCTCAGCGAGGTGGACGTTGACTACGATGATGTCGAGTCTCTCTCGGAGGGCCACAAGACGGCGCTGTACGCGTCTGTCGTGCTCGTCAAGCAGATGCTGAACGAGACCCAGGTGAGGGCCCAGCCGGTGGCGCGCGCCACTCGCCTCAGCCGAGTATGTGCTCTTCAGTCAGCGTTGGCGGCGGGTGCATAATTGTCAAGTGAGTCAGTTTGTTCGGCGACGGTAGAGTGCTCCGGGCACAGCTCAACCCGACGGGAGGTACCCCGGGCGCAGCTCAGCCCAACGGGAGAGTACCCCGGGCGCAGCTCAGCCCAACGGGAGAGTACCCCGGGCGCAGCTCAGCCCAACGGGAGAGTACCCCGGGCGCAGCTCAGCCCAACGGGAGAGTACCCCGGGCGCAGCTCAGCCCAACGGGAGAGTACCCCGGGCGCAGCTCAGCCCGACGGAGAGTGCTCCGGGCGCAGCTCAGCCCGACGGAGAGTGCTCCGGGCGCAGCTCAGCCCGACGGAGAGTGCTCCGGGCGCAGCTCAGCCCGACGGAGAGTGCTCCGGGCGCAGCTCAGCCCGACGGGGGAGTACCCCGGGCGCAGCTCAGCCCGACGGAGAGTGCCCCAGGCGCAGCTCAGCCCGACGGGAAAGTGCTCTAAATTCTTGTCCGGATTCCGGATCTTTGCTATAATGCTTAGATTAATGAGAATCTATTCGGTATCTCCTGCATTTCGCAGATATTTAGTCGTGGAAACTCAGCTCCCTGGCTCACGGTAGTTAGTTATCGACCAAGCTATTTAGTTATTGTATTTCATCTACGAACCTCAAATTTGGTGAAAAGTAAGTTCATATGCAGTAAAGCTTACCCTGTGAATATAATTGTCCAGACTCTCAGTTTTTAGGATCTTAGGGAACTCAAACTGCCCCAACCCACCCACTCCCACCCGAGCGGAGGGTATTCAACCGGCCTCTGGGTGTGTACTTTGGGAATTTGATATATCAAAAACGTGTCGTTGATAAACCTTATAGGGATGTGCGACTCGCGTTGTTAATTTAGTTGGTGCTTTCTTTTCCGGGTGTTTCTTTTTTGGAATTATGTGATAACTCCGCTGAGTTTTGATCCTAGCATAGGTTCTATTGGAGGCGAGAACGTGATGGCAGTGCTCTACCGTCCCGTCTGCATGTTTGCGACGAAAACAAATCGTGAAGGTAAATGATGTTTCAATTGTCTCAGATCGAAAGTCTTCTTTATGTTATCATAGTTTCCTATTCCCTCTGAACGAAAAAAAAGATAAGGAGCTTCTGTGTTGGGTCCAATCCATTTTAGAACCGTCATTTTTACAGATGTTCGTAGTGACAAGACAACGTAATCACCATTAAGTTAAGTCAGGTGTATTCAAAGTCCGACACATATCGCTATTTAGCGACATCATACCCGACGTCACGTAAGGCGTACAATGAGACGATGCTCCGCCAGCACAGTGCGTTACAGCTTCGTGACCAGCCACTTATTTCTCTCCAGTCCGCGGTAAATATTTCCCACGGGCGTAAATATTAGCGGCGCAGGTGGGCACCGGGCCGTCTTCGGGCGTTTGTGTTCTGTACCGGCGGGGTCGGAGATGAACCGCTCGCGGCGCCCTTCAACTCCCGGCCGACCGCTGGGGTCAGGGGTCGACCGCCTGCGGCATCCATCAGCTTCTGGACGGCCGCCGGGGTCAGGGGTGGACCGCCTGCGGCGTTTGCGAGCTGGCACGGACAGCGGTGCCGACGAGATTCAGGCAGCCGCTATTCCTGGCGACCGAAAGAGATGTAAACACGATGGGGGCTCAGCCTGGTGCGATTGAGAAAGTCCTCGCGCGGCGGAATGGGACCTTTTATGGTCGGTCGAAGTCCCGTTGCAGTGACTTACAGTCTGGTCGGGATATTATATGGTCTTGCATGCATGTGTAAGTTTGTGTATAAAGAGAGAGAGAGAGAGAGAGAGAGAGAGAGAGAGAGAGGAGAGAGAGAGAGAGAGAGAGAGAGAGATATATATATATATATATATATATATATATATATATATATATATATATATATGTGTGTGTGTGTGTGTGTGTGTGTGTGTGGTGTGTGTGTGTGTGTGTGTGTGTGTGTGGTGTGTGCGTGTGTGTGTGTGTGGTGTGTGTGTGTGTGTGGTGTGTGTGTGTGTGTGTGTGTGTGTGTGTGTGTGTGTGTGTGTGTGTATGTGTTCGTGTTTAAGTCTCCTTGAGTTTGCTGTGATGAATTCGTTTTTTGTTTCAAATGGCAAGTTTTATTGGTGGAAAGAATGAGTGGGTGTTGGGTGTTGGCCTGCCTTTGGGTGCACGTTGTAACATCTCCATGTACTTTTTGCTCTGTCTTATCCTATCTCCTGTCCGACCTGCTCCTCCCATTTCTTGTATGGTAGGTTCTGAGGGATCGGTCTTACGACCCTGTGCTTGAATTCTTAAACAGCGAGCACGTAAGCATTAGGAGGTTGATGGGAGAGGGGCAGGCGACAAAATTGCATTATTGGGCGTCCGTTGACGTAAGGAAATGGTCGCCTACCTGCACACATTATTGCATTGGTCTTGGCCAACGCCGGCGCAGTAGGGGGAAGGGCAGAGGGACAGCTGCTCCCCCCCCCCCCCTGCTGTGCCCTTCTGCCTGCTCCTTCCTACCCCTGCCGTCAAGCAGGGGAAGATTATGTTTTGCCAAAAACCAATTTCGAGAAATTTTTTGTGCAAGGAAAGGCTCACGTGGATTAACAAAATTCAGATCGAGAAGGCCCTTATAGCGGAGCTAGAGGGTGCTAGGTCGGTCACAGCAACAAAAAACTTTTTCTGCATCAAGAAGCCCGTGTCATGGATCATGAGACCACTTCTATGGGATGTAGTAGTCCATGCTCTAGATCAGACAAACCCGACACCCGACACCTGACGCTGCAGTCTCCGCAGGCCTGCAGCGTAAGTCCTGCGGCTAACACTAGGTGGCGTCTAACAACGGACAAAATCGATAAATATCTGAAAAGACTACCTTTGAACGATTGGCGACATCAATTCACAGGTTAAGAATTTACCTCGGGTGAATATTTCACTCTTGCGATTTTTAAATTGCTCGTAGAAACGGAGTAGCATTTACAGCACCGCGAAGCGGTGCAGGAATCCAGTGATGGTAAGATGTGCGCCCTAGCCTAAGCTTCGAGTGGTGCGAAAGTCTGTCTGAATCATTAATCCTCGACTATTGTTCTCGCACGTCCAGCGTCCGCGGCCTGGTGTAATATGCCGCGGCCAAAGATGTCCGTTCTTATATCATTCCGATCCACTCAGCTGAACACTGGTGAGACTCCTTACCTTTCTCGGGCAAGGTGTTTGTGAGTAGGACACTAAGGAGCGCATTATCGTTTTTTGTCAATGTTGATAAAGCGGCCCTCAAAGGAATATGTCATACATTGGTCCCCTCCCTGACGCGGGAGGCCCGCTGGTCCGGGAGTTAGCCCTGGATCGCCGTAGGAGTCGTCGCTGACACAACACGATTCCTTATCGCCGCGGGCGATCCAGTATTTGGCACAGCCACTCCGGTCCGACCTAACGGGTCCTTAGCTGAAATGGGGTGGAGGCCTCCGTTCTGTACTAGGGGCCCTGACTGACGCACATCCATTGTATTTCTTCATTGTGGAGTCGCCATAAGCTCTCATATCTTTTTTCATCGGCAGAGGGCAACGACAAATGCAAGGGGCCCTCTGGCCTTTGGCGCCTGTCCCTATGCGTGTTCGGAAAGCGTTCCCATGGTGGGCTCAGGACGCTTGCTGACACAGAAACCTCTATTATGCACTGGGGGTCCTAATTGACACAGGGCCTCTCATTGTCGCATGGGCTCCTTGCAATGCAAATCGCGTGCTCCGACCTCGTGCCTGCTTGGTAGATGGGCCCCTAGTGCTCTGACCGACACGAGGTCATCTGCTTGGTGTTGGTGTTTTCTCGCTGAAACAGGGACCCTCCTTGTCCCAAGGGTCCTCTTTCAGTGTAAGAGGCCTTCTGGCCGACATTTGAGTTTGCGGCCCTTAGAGCGAGAATCATTAATGTGACTTTTAGCCTGCCCTTTGGGTCCTTCGGCTTTCCAATCGGGCCCGTGATCTTGACCCCATTTGGGCCCCTTGAGCCCCTAAAAGACGCCCCCGGCCGACTTAGGCCACTTTCCGACATGAGGCTCCTGTTTGTCACTGTGGGCCCCACATTGTTCCAAGGACTCAGACAAGTGCATTTCGTGGGCTCGGCCTTTTTCCTGCTCTGAAAATGGCCCCCAGGGCCCAAAATAACACGGAGCCAGAGCCAAGTTTTCGATGTTGTTTGTCTCTGGCCGAAACAGACTCGTGTTGTCAGGGGATTGCTCAATGGGTCCGAGAGACCCTCTGACCCTCTGTCTGAGGTCAAGATCTTTCGGACCAGAACTCCTAATAAGATCTACGGCCAGCTAGCCTTTCGGGCCCTTCAGGCTTTTTTCATTGATCCCTTGACTGTCAGTCCCGAAAGGCCCATCGGACCCCTCTTCGGACCGCCTCGTAAACTGCGCCTGGCCGACTCGGGGGCCCCTTGCCAGCACAGGAACCGCTACAAGACACTGTAGGTCGCTGGCAGACACAGACGAAGAAACCGTATTGACTCAAGGGCTCCGACCAACGTAATTGTGGGGTCCACCCTTGTTCCTGCTTTGGAAATGGTCCCTCCATATGGCCCATTTTACACAGAGTCCATTGCTGGGTGCTGGTGGTGTCTGTTCAACATAGTGGCCCTCATCGGCTCAGCGGGCCCTCAATCGGTGCAAATGGCCCTTTGAGCGGCATTTGAGGGCCGGCCCACAAGACGAGGGCTCCTAATACGACCTGCGGCAAACCCTTCGGGGCCCTCAAATCGGCCCTTAAACATCTGTCCCGAGAGATCCAAAGGGCCCCTCGGCACCTAAGCTTTGTGTGGGTGGGGGGAGGTACGTGCCCCCTGTGCCTGCGCCAGTGAATGGGTCTGTTTTTAAGACATTTAGGGTTGTGCTTTTTTATCAGAATATGTTGTCGTATGCACTTTAATATAGTGAGTAAGCTATATATATTGGCAGGGTGGCTGGCATAGGTGGAAGGCGTAGTAGGGTGTGATACCGTATGGAGTCCGTGGCCGCGGACATTTCCATAAGCGGAGCCTTGTAAGAACAATTTGGACTCCGAGGATGCGTTTTCCTTCGGTTACCTCCTGATTTTGACATTTCACGGGTTAAGCACGTTTTGGTAAGTTTGGTGCAGTGTTAACGCGCCTAGAAAAACATGGTGAACGAGTCGCTTCAAAGGGATACAAATGGATACCTGCGTCGTGCCAAGCTTTCTTAAAGTAAGCTTAATTATATGTATTGTTACTGACAGGAGCTTCGCTCCGGCAGCCTATCATAGCAGCCTGCCATCAGTACGCTCCAGCAGCTTGGGCCTGTGAGCTGCATGGCCCATGTGGTGCGCGAAGTGGACAGCCCAGCCGAGCGCCTGCTTGCCAGAATCCACCGCGATCCACCGTGACATTATTTATGGAGAGGTGCCTGTGCGTGACAGATAGTCTCGACAGGAATTCGACACGACCTGGCTTCCCGCGACTCAGCTATACTTTGATATTTCAATAGTTTCTTGTACGAATCGATGGTGTTATGTCGACAGTCAGTTGACCTCAGCTGTGTGACTGGCGTGGTGCCACTGTAAGGGGCCCGGCTAAGGACTCTCGAAGAAAAACCACTCGAACACTATTTTGTCCACAGACCAAGTTCCACAGCATGATGGAGGACAACCAAATATTGGGATCCCGCATCGACAGCAACCTGCAGGTGGCCCAGTCCCAGGTTACTGACCTGAGGTCAGAGCTAGCAGATACTCACAGGATGATCGACCAGGTGGGTAGGCCTGCAGTGCGATCATGGGGCCAGGAAGGTGCTCAAAGCACAGTGTCTGTCCAGCCTCACGTTATCAGTCTCTTTCCAGGTATCAAATCCGGCTATGACAAACTTCAACATAAGGTATTTGTGTGGTTGGGGTTGTGGAGCTTCACCTGGAAACAGCAATTTTGTTAGTTTATCGTAGAGCAGATCCATGAATATATCAGGCCATTGCTTGCACGGCTGAAGCTTTCGTCTACATTGGGCCCACGGGGTATGATTGCCTACATCATTTTTCTGACTAAGTTTCGTGCATTGACACGGCACGACTGTGGAGCTGTCGGGAACACTCGGACAATGTAAAGTCGTGCGCCGCGGCGGGCACAGCTAGTGCATATCTGCCGTGTCCAATGTCACATGAGTGTTAAAGAGGTCGAGAGTTACTTGCTTGCAGAAAACTTCAGCACGCGCTCCGATATCGCAATGGCAAGTCAATGAGATGTGGATGAGCCGGTCTGAATGAGCCTCTCGAACATGTTTGGGTGCTCAGATGGTGCTCGGCGCGCGGGGTGTATTGCATTTCCAAAATCAAGCAGGCCCGTTTCAAAACGTAAGACAGCCGTAAAAGCGCACTCCCGATAGATAAACCCATTCGTATATAACACAAGTCAGATGACGTAAAATAATTGCGCAGCTCCGCATTTCAATAAGGCATGGAGCCGAGATATCGTCTGCATCCAGACGGCTGTTTCAGATATATTGTCAAAGCTTGTGCCCAAATGAGCAAATCCCGTTTTGGGGGAGTGTGGCCTTGATTTTCGGGCGTGTATGGTCGGGGCTGAGCAGACCGAGTTATCCCAGCCGGACAGACCGTCGGCCCGGGCAGGCTTGGTCGGGGCTGAGCAGACCGAGTTATCCCAGCCGGACAGACCGTCGGCCCGGGCAGGCTTGGTGCCGCTGTGGCCGTCGGAGTGCGTGCCGCGCCTGTGGTCTCTCTGACCTGGGCTCTGCCGTGGGTGCGTCAGCGGCCCGCCTCAAATCATGCCGTGTCTCCGTCCCAGTTGGCAGCGGCGGCGGGCTCCGGAGACCGCCCCCGCCCGGCCGCCGCCGCGCCGCCGGAGAAGACCAAGGTCAACGGGGTCACGGCGCCGGCGGCCGACGCGCCGGCGGCCGAGCCCCTGCTAAGCTCGGAGCCGGTGCCACCCGCCACCGAGGACGCCACCGACCTGCCCTCCGACGAGGAGCACACATACTACGATAGAAACGGTAAGTCAGCAGCGGCTGCTTTTTTCGGCCCCCGCGGGTGCTGCGGCGTTTCGGTCCGGTCCAGTTCGGTCTTGGCGACGGCTTTGGCTGCGGCAGGGTGTCCGGAAGGCTATCCCTGATCTCCCTGATTTCCCTGATCCCCCTGAATCGATCGTGGCCGAACATTCACCCGGCTGTGCAAGAATCGACAGTCACTGACTACACTAGCTTGTTTGGTAGACCGATTAAACTGAATGCTTCCTGTGAACGGGACTCATTGATTCGCGCTGGGTTCAGGATTTTCTGCGATATCGATAGTCGCCTTATTCGCCATTTCGTTAGTTTGCTCTTTAGTTCGAGGCGGGCGGGCAAGATGGACGCAGGGCATGGCTTCTGAAGATTAGCCTTAATTTAAAATGTCAGGTACGGAAGCAGCTTGGGGGACCTCTCGACGAACGTGTCGTGTCGTACGGAGCGCACGCGCGGGCACGGCTCGGCTGCTGGACTGAGGTCTTGGGATATGTTTTTTGACGTTGCTAGGTCGCACATCACATTGTTCCTCACGAATGTTCCGAAAGAGTGTTTTTCTCCAAGGTGTCCCCACGCTGGCTGTGCTTCATATCTCCTGGCAGTCACGACTGGAGCCAGGTGGGGCCAGATTATGAAAGGTATGGTGGAGCCAGATTTGAAAGGCGAAGTGGGTGCGGAATATTGTTGGCGCCTGTTTTCTGCCAGAACTGTATGCCGGAGCTGGCTGCGTGGAAGCCGGGAGGTGGGAACTGTATACCGACGCTGGCTTTGTGGAATCCGGGAGGTGGGGGCTGTATGCCAGCGCCGGCCGTGTGGGAGCCGGAAGGTGGAAATCCGATGTCTTGACGGAGACAACATTTGCCGTGTACCAATACTGGCAGTCTTTCTTCAACCGCATACAGAGACTTGTGCCCTGGTGGTATGCCCGCGGCCTATCCGTGTGGAAACCCGAGACATACATCCAGATATCTACGTCGTGCACCACTTCCACATGTGCAATGTGCTCTTTCGTCAGCAATATCCAATATATTCCGCAGCATGTCTGGTCTGCAGCGGCCAGACCATCCCCGTTTAAGCCCAAACATCCGTGTGTAACGGTACGACTCTGAGAGACCGGGGCTTGAAGCACTTCATGTATTTGTGTGACTGTCGCACTGTGTTTTACCATTCGCCCCAAAACATCTCAGACGGCGTTATGATCCAAAGCCAAATAAACAAAATTGGCTGTTTATTACAACTATTATGGAGCAAGGGCGCTCACTTTTGACCTACTTTTTGCAGCACTAGCATGAAAGAAATCTGCACGATATGCATCAATGTTGTACGCCTATATTGTATCGCTGGATGCTGGCCGGATCCTTTTATTTTTGGCGCGTTAGTTTTTGTTTTTGTTGTTGTTTTTTTACTGCGCGTTAGGTCACTCTATAGTTCATTGAAGTCGTTTGTATTTTGATGAGTGTCAGTCAGCGGACCCACACATTGATCTGTGCAATATGTATGGCCGCTGGACAAAGATTCATCGCTATTTGCTTGCGACAGGATTCCGATGTCGGCGTTAGATTCCACTACACCCAGTTTCATGATCAAATAGCATGCGCCAAATCATGTGTGCAATACGTCTCCGTTGATTTTGGAGCCATTTAGGGGCCGTTTTGTCGCTCAACGTCAGATCATCGTTTTTAATACGCGCTGAGGTCCGCAACCGGGACAGCGTGCGACGCGCAGCGTGGCCTGCTCTAGCGGGGGGCGCGGTCCGGGTCTGGCCAGCCCCGGCCCGGTCTGACCAGCCCCGGCCCGGCCTGACCAGCCCCGGCCTGAGCAGCCCCGACCCGGCCTGACCAGCCCCGGCCTGACCAGCCCCGGCCTGACCTGCCCCGGCCCGGCCTGACCAGCCCCGTCCCGGCCTGACCAGCCCCGTCCCGGCCTGACCAGCCCCGACCTGGTCTGACCAGCCTCGACCTCGGCTGGACGGCAGCCGTTACACGGCGCCACCAAATGTCGGACCGTCCAACTACGACGTCCGGCCGTCTGCCTTTGATGCCCGCTGGCTGAGCCCGATGTGTGGTGGCTGAGCTTGACGTACGGTGGCTGGGTTTGATGAGCGGTGACTGGGTTTGATGTGCCGTGGCTGGGTTTGATGTCAGGCCGTCTGGGGATGCCCGCAGGCGGGATGGGCGCGTTGTCCAACGGTAATGACGGGGACACGGCGTAAGAAACATCAGCTGCGTTGAGATTGTCTAGCTGTTTGGTACAAGCGCTGTTGCATGTAATGGAACCATCGCTGCAGCATAAGTGGTCTCAAGAGTGACAAGCGTTGGGATTTTCGGGTTTATCCCCGTTTCCTCTTGTCCCCAAGGTCATCTTTTTCATTGCATTGGTTTGCTCACAATGTGTCCAGTGCCACGCCTCGAGCTGTGGCGATCTTCCACCTGGCACATGACAATACCCCACGACACAGTACACAAACAACGGTCGTGTTCGCGAACGCTCGGTCCGCTGTCGTACGCCCGGCCTCGCCGGTCAGACCCCGTCCACTGTCGTACGCCCTGCCTCGCCGTCAGACCAGGTCCGCTATGGTACGCCCGGCCTCGCCGGTCAGACCCCGTCCACTGTCGTACGCCCTGCCTCGCCGTCAGACCTGGTCCGCTGTGGTACGCCTGGCCTCGCCGGTCAGACCCGGTCCGCTGTCGTACGCCCTGCCTTGCCGTCAGACCAGGTCCGCTGTCGTACGCCCTACCTTGCCGTCAGACCAGGTCCGCTGTCGTACACCCTGCCTTGCCGTCAGACCAGGTCCGCTGTTGTACGCCCTGCCTTGCCGTCAGACCAGGTCCGCTGTCGTACACCCTGCCTTGCCGTCAGACCAGGTCCGCTGTCGGACGCCCTGCCTCGCCGTCAGACCAGGTCCGCTGTCGTACGTCCTGCCTTGCCGTCAGACCAGGTCCGCTGTCGTACGCCCTGCCTCGCCGGTCAGACCAGGTCCGCTGTCGTACGCCCTGCCTTGCCGTCAGACCAGGTCCGCTGTCGTACGCCCTGCCTTGCCGTCAGACCAGGTCCGCTGTCGTACGCCCGGCCTCGCCGGTCAGACCCGGTCCGCCGTCGCACACCCGGCCTCGCCGGTCAGACCAGGTCCGCTGTCGTACGCCCAGCCTCGCCGGTCAGACCCCGTCCGCTGTCGTACGCCCTGCCTTGCCGTCAGATCCCGTCCGCTGTCGTACGTTCCGCTGCGCCAGTCAGACCCCGTCCGCTTTCACAGGTCGGCGGCCTCTGTTCGGGGCGGGTGGCCCCCGCCGACCTCCCAGCAGACGCCGCCTCTGATTGGTCGATCGTGATCATCAATCGCCGCTCGTCTGTCGATGCCGCCGCCATTGTTTATTTACCTTGGTGCACGACCGAAACGGTATACGGCCGGCGGTGGGCCGTCGTTGCAACTTTATCGCCGCTGCGGCGACCAGGCGGCGGTCGGTGTCGCCCGAGGCCCGCTGCCGGGGCAGAAGTGGCGACAGTGCGCGGCAGTGCCGACTGGAGGCAGGCTGGGCTGTGAGTTGCCCGACTGGAGGCAGGCTGTGCTGTGGGCTGCCCGACTGGAGGCAGGCTGGGCTGTGGGCTGCGCGCTGGAGTGGCCGAGCGCGGACTGCAGTGCCGGACGGGACCGGCAGCTAGGTCAGACTGCTGACCGGGGCGGCAGCTAGGTCAGACTGCTGACCGGGGCGGCAGCCATGTCGGACTCCTGACTGGGGCGGCAGCCATGTCAGACTCCTGACTGGGTCGGTGGCAGGCGACGGAGCCGAAGCCGGACAGGAGCCGCACAGGAGCCGCACAGGAGCCGGACAGCAACCGGGCAGGGGCTGGAGCCTGAGGTGGACGTTATGTGATGCCTCGTGAGGACTAGGAGATGGTGCTGGTTAAGTTTTGCACTTTGTAGTCGCGGTGGTTTTCGGCGTTGGACGGAAGTGGGAAGGGGGATGAAAAGATGACACCGATAGAATACTGGTAGGGCTAGTTTTCTGGCGCCCCTTTCATCGTCTCACCCCACTGGCAGGTTTCTGATCTGTTCGAGTGAGGTTTCCATGAGGGCCCGAGCATAGGAGATGTCCTTTAAGCCATCATGCACGGCATGGAATAGGCTGTTGATCCGCACTATTTCGGCAGGCCTGTGGTGTGAAAACACGTTTATCGATGGCGAGGGGCCCGCGGTGACATGCGATGTTTATCCTGAGAGAGGTCGAGTCAAGGCTGGATAAACTGGTGCAGACATAGTACAGACCGCAGCCTCGTTCGCGGGAAGCCGCCACTCGATCTCGTGAAGCCTGCGGGGCCTTTAGAACTCGACGCCCCCGAGCCAGGACGCCCTCGGCCCGACCGTCGTGGCACATTAATACCCTGTGAGCCAGTCAGCGCTTTTTGCTGCGCTCGGCGGCCGCCTCAGCGGGCATGGGCAACTACAACTCGGCGGTAGTGACGGTCACAGCCGGCGGCGAGGACCCGCTGCCGGAGGGCGAGACGCGCGTGTTTGAGGCGCGTGTCACCACGCCGCCCGCGTGGCGGCGTCGGCCGACCGCCCACAATCGCTGCCACTCGGCGCCCGGGCCGCTGGCGCCCATCGACGAGGAGGTGGCGGCGGAAGAGGTGGCGGCAGAGGAGCCGGCGGTGGAGCCGACACCGGTGGAGGGGCTCCTGCCGCCGGAAGAGGACGGTCTGGACGCGCAGCGCGAGCGGCGACAGACGGCAGAGCGGGCCGAGGGTGCCTTACCCAGCGGCCGACTGTTCGTTGTGAAGGGCACCGGGGTTGAGCGCCCAGATGGGGAGTGCTCAGAAGACCCGGAGGGCAGTGGGGTCAGGCTTCGTCGCGCTCGTCATCGGGTGACGGACGTCAGCGTAAATGGACATCTCAGCGAGGAGCAAGCAGCCGTCTGTGATTTCTTCGACGAAACTTTGCATTCGTGCTCTCGCCTGTCTTCCTGCGACTCGCCGATGGAGCGCCCGGACGGCGG